GAAACAGACTAAAAGCTAGGAGCTTGAACTTGAAGATAAGAACCTTGGTAGATCCTTGGGAACTTCATTGGTTATGGMTAAGTAAGCTCTGAAAAATGATGTACGAAATACTTAGCACTGATGCTAATTAGAAACTTTCATTATGTAGATGTGAGGGCAGTCCACAAGGACTCTACCAAAGGATTTTAATAGGAGTATCAGAGTACTGAAGAGACAACTTGATTCCTTTAGCCAGGAAAATTGAACCAGACACTTATCAGACAACCTGACCAGGGCATAAAAAGTATCAAATGAACTTTATTAAAGGCCTTATCCAGAGCAAGTCTGATGGTCCTTGTTGTCATCCAAAAAGAATAAGGCAGCCTTCAGAAATCTTCAGCCATGGAARTCTGAGATATCATTTGTTAGCTCTTACTGGGGATGCCATCAAGTAATCTAGCTGAGATTATCCATTATGTATTCAGAAATCTGTGAAAGAGACTACTGAGAGCTGGACTTATGTTGAAGGAACCAGTGTTAAAGATAATTTTATAGGGAAGTCTTGCCCTTCCTCTCATTTCTGATATAACCTGAAATCAGTGTTTCATGTAGTTAAGGAATTAATGACAGGTGGGACTTTTTTTTCTGCTAATATGTAGTTGTTTTCAATGAAACATTACTGACCCTTTGCTCATCCCCTCCTCACCATTTGGGGTGGACACAAAACAGCATCACATAGCCACTGCTGCAAAGACAACATCAAGAAATCAGATGGAAGATTTTGAGAGGATGGGGTGCTCACAAGCTGAGTAAGCCTTTAGTTTTCAAGTCCATAATTTCCTTACCCCATGTGCACAAGAATACTTTCTTTTGTGTTCCCTAGCAAATGTACTAATAATGAAGTAAGAGGAGTGACTAATGAAGAAAATTCACAGAGAATACTGGATATCCTCCTGAACACACTGAAAAGGAGGATGGGCAGGATAGGAGTAGACTATAGAATATAGTAGAATATAGACTCCACCAAGAGTCTATATTTTCTGGAATATAGACTGACTGGAACTCCAGCCGCAGATGTGCAGAGACCTCCTTCCAATCATGCAACATGCAGGGACCCTACCACGTGCTGAAGGTGCTGTYCAGAGAGGCTGAAGAGAGAGGCTGGTCTTTGAGCTCAAGAGGTTCTAAAGATTCGTTGCAGTCTGGACACCTCACTGCTAAGCATTTCTGGAGAAACATTTCCCACTTACTGAATGTTAACACCTTAAGCCATGGAAAACAGAAGGTTATCCTGAGCTGAGCAAGTATCTCTCAGAGGATGAGAGAAAAGTGTCTCTCACAAGATGAAACTCTACGGGATGGCATGGTAAGCAAAAATAAGAAAGAAAAGTTCAACACATCTGAGAAGAAAAAAAAAACGGGGAAAAATAAGTTGCTCTAAAGTGAAGTTTTCGCTTCTGAAAACCAACAAATAAGGCGCAAGGAAAAAAATTACAAGAACATGGTAAAAATAGATACAGTACATAGAAAAGAAAGAGGGAAAAGGTTACTAAAGGTTCAATGTTAAGTGAAAATTGCTTTCTCTAACATGAAAGGCACTCCAGTTTAGCAGAATTATGCAGCATTCTCTTAGGTTATGCAGAGGTAAAGGAAAAACTGGGGAATKACATCTTGCTATGATTGAATAAATCTGAATGCCTGCAATATAAATATGCATTGAAGGCACATACTCAAAAAGAGAAATGTTCTCCTTCCTAGATGGAGGTGTCAGAGACCAGAGCTGAGAATAAACCCCATCAGTCAGGTTTCTTATAAAGCAATGAGATTCTGTGTCTATGGAACAGCTGAATTAAAGGAAAAACAAGATTGGTCAATAGCTGTGAACAAAATGAGGATGCCACATTCACACAAGAGAACTATTTATTTGCCTTCTAACAAAGGCACAGCTGCACAATGCYGTCAGTTGTGTTCCACATATGTGGGAATGTTATGGCCTGACATACACTAACATAACTGGAGTACCAATGTATGTGCAATATTGCTGAAAAAATTAGGCAAGCACTTCCTCTAAGCAGATAGTGTTAGAAAGAAGAATGGCTAGGAAAATCAGATAGCTGTTGCTGTTGTCCAGAGAATTTCTGTTCTGCCACAGTGCCAAGAAAAGCTGTCAGAAAACGGATCCTTTTATGAAGTAAGAGAAGACTGGGAATAGTCAGGGGGAAAAAATTACTTATTGGCAATTTTGTATGTTGTATCAAGACAGACTGACGTGTTTTCATGCTCCAGGGATAAAGGCAAGGACTATCACTCAAAATAGAAATAAATATTTTGTCCTTTCATCTCTACTACTTTTAAAGGTCAAAAAAAATCTCAAACTGAACAATTAGAAGCAGCATTTAAATAAGCTTGAAAGGATTGATAATTTGTATGGAGACACATGGTAGCTATCATTGATGTAAAGCTCTTTTAATTTTTCTACTGAAACAGGAAAACAGAAGTCCTGTCACTTCATAGATATTGTTTCTGCATGTATATCCTATTTAAATGTAGTATCCAAGATCACAGAAAYACAATCCTGTTCAGGCTGAAAAGACATCCATAAGTCATCTAGYCCAACACCCTGTGCAAAGCAGATCCAATTAGATCCAGCTGCTTGACTAATCCAGTTGAGTTGYTAATATCTCCAAGAAGGAAGATCTAATGGCTTACATGCCAAAACTCTATGCTTASTTTTCCTCAATAATGACTTTTGATATTGTTTGAAGTACTGGATGCTCCAATTCCATGACAGCATACCATGACTGTCAGAAGAAAGGTTAAGACTGGTTAGTCATGAGAATCACAACCATAATGGCAAAAGATTGACCCTCTATTTGAGGGCCAGTAAAAGAAAAATGGTACAGGCAGAAATGACGATGACTGATTGCTAATCAGGTCAAAGATCATTCATTTAAATTTGCATCATTTTACCATCAAAAGCAAAAGCAGCTTTCATTTAAAGGAAATGAAACTCTCAGTTTCCATCGTCAGAGTGGAGACTCATTTCATCTACAACTTAAAGGCTGATTCTCAAACATACACATTATCCCCAGAAAACAAAAAGGGAAGGACTGCAGAGTAGCTGGTTGCCAGGGGACTGCTGCGAAACCATGCCTGCTGGCTGTGACTCACAGGCAACCACTAAAATTTATCTGCATGTCAGCAGACCTTGCTGTACAACCCTAACACTGATACACCCAAGTGAAGGCTGGTTATTTGGGTTTAAGCATGAGACACAAAATTTCTATTCCAGAACTCGTGAAAATTTTAAGGACTATTTTGCAAAAAATGTTCTATTTTAATTGTAGGAAAAAAAGTTGAGGGTTTTTTTTTTTTTTTGTTGAAAACATACACAGATTAGGATAATATCACATGTTTCAGGGAAGAACCACATTGCCTTTACAAAAAGGAGTTATACACAATTATGGTTACTTCCTTTGCAAGTGTTTCTCTGTGCTCTACATTAGGCAAACCATGTAACACATGTGAGAGCACTCAATGGATATTCCTAATTTTTTTTCCTTCCTTAATTGAGTGCTTTCAGTTCTAATACTGCTTCATCCTGACCTCCTCCGAAGCAGCAGCACATGCACTGTCACATATAAGCTCTGTATACCAAGAAAACACAGCAAAGGCAGCTGAATAGGTCAATCTGAGACCATGATGTCAAGTTAGAAGTTACTGCTGGGATTTTTAAGGTCAAATAATATTTCAAAATGAAAAAAAACAAAAATAAATTTGGCATGCCACCTACAAAAGCAAATTCCCACAAATGAAGTGTATAATCAAGTAAGGACTTTTAAAACACACAAATTGAAATAAAATAATATGATATTAATAAGAGCGACTTGGAAGGGGAGACTAGTACACAAGCAGCTAGWCTGGGWAAGGCTTTTGGCAGAATGAAGCAAAACCACAGATGATGATCATAAACTGCATCCTAATATGATRTGCTCTTGATTCACTGAAAAGCATTCAAACAGTTTAGTATTTTCCTGTGTTGCCATAGCTATATTAATAACATTCATATTTATGTGCTGTAAGCATTCCTGTCTCAGTTGCATAATTCAGTGTCCCCAATTTAGTCTTCCACCTAATGCCACCCTAACAACTTTGAAAGGCTGCCACAACAGACTCACCATATAGCATATCATCAAACCAATAATTAAATCAATCTAATCAACAAATTAGGCTACATCACCTATGACTCTTAAGAATATGATGGAGCTGAGAGACTTTTCAYATGATAGAGATATATACATGAACATTTAAATATGTGCTGTGTTGGTAGTCTTACTAATGTCCTAGTGGTTAAAAAGCATTTGTAGTATTGGAAATCCAAAATGCTATCATGCTGGTTCATCTGATAACTTATTAAGTTTCTGTAACTTAGAGAAAAAACAAGCCAGAAATCAGCCTTTTCAGCAAAACTCCTTCAGAATTCCAGAGCTAGAGAAGTATTTACTCCTCTCAAGTGCACCAAGGGTACAGTTGTTGACAGAGGGAGAAGAAGGAAGAAAAATCTTTAACTGTTTGAAATAACATGTAATAATTACATTTCTGGTTTTATTATTTCAAAAGGCAACCACTTTTTTTTTTTTCTGAATGACCACAACATGACCAAGGGTTTCAGTTGAGARAATTAAGCAACCAGTGATATATTTCTCATTAAGTCATGTTCTCTACTCAAGAATTGCTCTAAGGTTTGCAATTTCTGGCTTCATTAACTACCAGCTATCTTTTTCTAAATACCAGTCATGTTCCACTGGTAATARAAATACATGAATGAAGTGTTTTAAGATGTGTTGCGAGAAAAATTCCCTTCTTTCACAGAAGTCCTTGCCAGTCACTATCCACAAACGCAGTACACTCCAAACCCAGTGACAATTTTCTACTGAGAACTGAAAAGGTGTTCATACTTCAAACACTGCGACTGTAAAATACATTCATTCTAAATACAGCTATTAAGACAATGTACTTACTTAGGCTACTCAGTTGTCTGATTATATTTGCCAAGGAGATATTGGTGACACATTCCAATTCATTTTTGATWCCTCGGGGCAGAGCTGTGTGGCACAAGTGCCTGGGGTCTATGTTCCTTTTTACCAGCGGCATTCTGAAATGTATCAGAGGACCAGCAAACCTGCAAAGAAAATAAGACACAATAATGTCAGAAGTTTAATTGCAAACATTTTAAATTCAGGTTATGTCTGAAGTTAAATCAACTAATCCTAACAGATAAAAGTAGCTCCATAGTATTGATGGAATTCATTGCTCTATGAGTAYATAAATATTTTCTTCTTTGCCCAGAGAAAGATTATTTCATTCTCTCTCTTTAAATCTTTACCTGATTYGGATTCCAGTGAAGTGACAAAAATTTTTTTACAGCTCTTGTTTTTCTCTACACCCACCCACTCAAAAAAGACAGGAAAATCTTTGCAGTACAAAACCATTCAAGAAAGATTGTGTTCTTGATGGACTACTTCCTTACTCAGGGCAAGCAAAGTCCAACAAAAAAACTCTTTTTATTATGAGGTCAAAGTCAAACTAGTYGTCCATTATGCTCAAAAGGCAGATATGATTCATTCATTATGTCATGTTACCAGCAGGAATCACCCTTCTAATCTGAACATCACTTCTAAATCATACCTAGTCAAGGCAAGAAAAGAGAAGATGTTTCCCTTCCCCCAACACTGCTACTGACAAAAAATTCAGCTAACAATGCATCTTCCAAATATCAAAGTCTCCACAGYAAACTTGTAGGGCAATATCCTCCAGGACTAAGAAAATTTACCCCGTCACCCCTTCCAAATCCAACTGGCAAATACAGCAAGAGTCTTTACTAATTCTACAGACAGCATAAGAATCATCTCAGGCTGTGAATCCCAGGCTTGTAATTTTCTGCAYCCATGACACTGATTGGAAGGAGTTTCCAAGAATGCAAGTTATATCCATCATCTTATTAGTGTTGCRTATTAAGAACACTTTTCTTCATGAGAAACTGGTTCCCTAAAACTCTGCATTTTTTCCGTCATTCATCATGTAACACTCTGAATGACCAATGCAAAACTCACACTTGATACACAGAGAATGGATACATTTAGTAATGGTATAAATTAGTCCCCCTTCCCACAGAAGAGATTATACTTTCTCTAGGCTGAAAGGCAAACAAGTTTTCCACAATGCAGTTCTAGTTCCTCAACCAGACAGCCTGTCTGGTCCATCAGCACTCTGCTTAGAAGTTTTATCCCAAAACATTCCCAGGATACTGCCAGGGCTATGTGTTGAGACATAAATGCACTTACCCTACAGTATATATTTAGCCACTGTTATCCTTACTTGGTCAAAACTAAAAAGTTTTTTTCTTGCATAATWGCATAAGGTAGAGCTGAAATTTTGCTGACCTAGAATGACACAGTGAATKAGAAGAGGCAAAGGTGACTGGAAAGGAGTACTTTCACCTCGCAGGCTGCTTAGATTTCTCCTTGCCATGTTTCCTGGGAGCATCGTCTTTCACTGAAGCCAGGGCTCGTAGCTGAGGAACCCAGGTGGGATCCTTAAGTGGACCTGAGAAACACCTCAGTGTTTCCAGGATCTGATTGCATCCTGYTCATTGCATTTTAACATCATGTCTGTCGCCCTTATTTTCTAGACAGAACAATCTAAAATATTTTATGCTTTTAATTTACTTTTATTTTCTAGAAATATCCCAAATCTTTCTAAGTATCTAAGTGCWGAAAAGCTAGCAGTTACATACAAAYKAAATAAAATTAAAAGAGCAAATCTGAACACTGTCCAARATAGAAGCTGGAAATGAATGATAGAATGAAAAAGTGTTTATAAACACGTAAATACAGGTTTGTTATCCTGGTTACCCAACAGAAAATAAAGGAACCATTCTGTCACTGTCAAAGAAATACAACTAATGATATGTGAGCAATGTTCTACAGAAGCAATTAAATATTAATTCCAAAGTTGAGCCCTTTCTTGATTACTGCTTTAATGACARTGTTGTATAAACATCACAGTAAATAAGTCTTTTAAAAATGGTCTAAAAAAGTATGTAAATATTTTCTCTGAAAAATTTCATACTTCCAACATTTTCTAATATCTGAATAATGCTGTTGTGGCTGTCYTACACAAACATATAGTATAACAAGTACAACAAGGAAAGGTAGCAGTAGGAACACTAAATATGCTAAAAGGTGTAGTTTTCAAACAAGAAAAAACTTGGAAGGGAAACAAACAACAGAAGATATAATTGACACCTCCAAAATTATGCCTCATATTTGAAAACTATGCAAAGCCTGAAGAGAAGATATTTACCAGGTTCACACAGAAACAAAACAAGAGAAGCAATGAAAGAAAATATCACTCAAACACGCTTAAAACAAAGGAAATGGCATTTCACACAATGTTTAATAAATTCTGGAACTCATTCCCACAGGATGCTGCATACAACARAAATACCTGCTGGTACCCACAGGATGCTGCATACAACARAAATACCTGCTGGTAATTTGTCCACTATGGACCTCATATTCTTTGCAGTTTGCTGCAGCCACTAGAAGGTCTTGATTCCTCCCCAATTGTAACCAGTGATCCCAACACAGGGAGCAACAGGTGTGCAACAGCAAATGGAATTTTACTGTACCCACACAATTTCTTCACTCCCATAAAAGATGTTTTTCCTAATGTAGCTCTTAACAAGAAAGCTGAAAAAAATCTGAAATCATTATGTGTATTATGTAGCTTTGGAGCTGTGAAAGAGGAAAAAACAAAACAGGAATCATTACTATCCATTATATCCTTTAGCAAAATGCAAAAAATTACATACACCCACCTCCCCCCCCCCACCCCCATAACTCCCAAACCATGCATTACCCAAGCCACTGGGGCAACAAAGGAAAAATTCATTCCTAGATCATGAAATCCTGTTACCATGTCACTCCCGAGTAAGCCCTGGAAAGTGTTCATAACCCCAGCCAGGCAGAAGAGAGAAGCAGCTTGTCAGTGCATAAGAGGATCCCTCGGTTGAGAGGTTACATGACACCTCCTGAGAGCTKTACAGCTCTCCTGTCACACAGGTCTCCCGCCCCCCAGCTCCGCTACTTCCCAGCTCAAAACTCAGGGAGGAAAGGCAATTTTCAAACATAACCACCTCCTCCTTCCTATAACTCCATGCAAATCTTCTGAGGCTGCTCTTCTGAAGTGAAGTGGCACCAGTTTACACTCAGCTAACTGCAAACACTTTGCTCCATAGTGATCTTAAAATGAAACTTTTCTTTACACAGAGATGCCAATGTATTTTGTAGAGCCACTATTGAAAGCTCTTCTGCCCCACTTCCTATACATCCTTTGAAGCCCTCTCAATCCTCTTGAGAAGCCAACTCTAATCTTCTTTGCAAAACCCTTYGCTACTTCAGTTGCACAATGGCCAGCGTAAACTCATCGCCCTCACAYATGCTTCAAGTGTGAGTACAGAATACGACTGTGTGTACACAATGCCTGCCTAATGTTTTTGTTCAGTAACCATGCTTTCAYACATGATTTTTTAGGAATTAGGTAWAATGTTSTAGTTGCTTTTCAATTAATTCCCATTACTTAAAAAACCAGCAAAACAACAGCACTAATGAGAGCTAATTAAAATGTTTTCAGAAGAAMAGCATTAATGAGATTTGACCACACTTCTTTCCAAAAAAGCAAGCTGTTGAGTGTGTTGCAGTCCTCTTCTAGGAGTCTTAGGGGGTGAGTGAAGCTCTTCTCTGTCTCATACTATTTCCCAAGCTGTTGATGCTCAGAGAAGACCCTGGTGAGCACTGGGACTGGAAAGAAGCTACCATTTTCCCTTCAACTTGCTCCCGTGGAAATATTTCAGAATTGCAAGATGTGTGGAGAAATGTTACATGACTTACTAGAAGCTGGTGAAAAATCTGAAATGTCAGCAGTCACAGTAACGATTCAGGCTTTCCAACAAGTACAGAAAGACACATAGGAATGAAAGCACAATAATAAGATGGGGAAAACAAACTAACCTGCCCAAGAGTTTAACTGATAATTAAACTACGCTTCAATTTCATTTTCAGAAGACTCATTTCATGATCACATGGTTTTTATTAAAGGAAGTTTACTTCTGATTAGGTTATATTTCATCCTGACTAAAACTGTCATTATTTCCTTAGCATTAATGAAAGTTATTAATCTATATTTTTTTCTATACTGTATCAATAATGCAGCACTGAATACCCTTGCTTTGATGGAGTAAATTTATTTCCAGCCATTTCTGGAGTATATCTTTAGACTCCAGTATTACCATACTACTTGTAATTTTCATTTAACAATGTGCAACAGCGATGCCTTTCATATGCCCCATTTAATTGATCACATTCCAGCTGCTGGCAGAACAGACCACAGTTTCAAATGCAACGATCAATTTACGCTTCCCCCACCCACCCTTAGAAACAAAAATAGAATATATAATAGTTTTTATATTTGCTTACATAATCRTGTACTAACTGCATCTACGCTATACACAAGCTAATAAAAAACCTTAAATGTGTTAACAAATCTGGTAAAATYGGAATTGCTAAGTTAAAAAACCAAGCTCACTCTCCTGGCAAATTGTCTTTTAATTATATTACAATATATCACAAGTCATACCAGTTGCAGAAAACCCAAAGATGAAGTTCTTATAATGCACATTCTCTACTATGGAAGGCAAATGTGCAAAGAATTTGTGTTCCTTGTTTTTCTGCAGCTCTCACTGCAAGATCAAGATCAGGTATAAGCTCAAGAAGAAGCAGACACCTACAGTGTGGTGTCCAACAAGTAGGCCACAACCACCKACTGCTGAGTCAACATAATGATTTTCAAACTCTAAAGGCAACTAACATACCTTAAAGGATACATCTTAGAACTGACAAGATGACAACTGACATCTTAAATTGGCAATTCAACAGAAATGTGTTAAAATTGCAGTTTTGAAATCCTTTCTGTTGTGAACCATGTCACAGAATGGAAAACCTTATCCTTGGAACACTTCCCTCAAATCTCAGTCTTCTGCAACTCACTTTCAAAAAAAAATTCCAACTGCAACTAACTAGGAAAAGACTTTATTGTAACTAAAAAAACATGTAAAAGGAA